TTAAAAATGATTTGAGAGAAATAAATGTACTTCTAACTTGCTAAAGTTAAACAGACAATGTGAGTGTGATTGATTCTGCAGTGTCTTCCTGATTGTCAGTGTAAATAAGCAAACAGCCATTTGAACCTCTGTTGGAAGACAAAACATTAGCAGAAAATAAAGATGTAAAGAAAACAATAGATCAAGACACTGAGGGAAAAAAGAGGCAGAAAAAAACAACATAAAGGCTACTTTTAATGAACATTCAGACAGTGAAAATGCTAAATCTATAATTGAGCTTGAAAAACTGCAGGTGAATGTGTTTGTGTGGTTTCATCAACAGAATATTGATTTTTCCGTTTCTTTTTTGTACCGACCAACTTCCTTTTACGCAAAACAAATCAGAGGAGGCAAATTAAGAAGCCACTTACCATAACAGCTCTGCTAAGAGGTCTGCACATGCAGGCATACGCACAGGCATCTTTAAGCAACAAAGATAAACAAGTGTTCTAATTAAGAATTAATTACACAGTAAAGCCACAGAGAGAGCTGAAACTCTTTGGAGGAATAAAGAGGGTCAGAGACAGGATGAAGATGAGACAGGGAGAAGTGTAGCAGAGGGATAGATGGGAATAGAAGAGAGGAGAAGGGGTGAGGTGAACGAGTCTAGAGACAGGTGGAGAGAGGGCTGTTTAAATGTTGGAAGGAGCTTTTTAGGAATGAGGAAATAATTAAAAGTCTGAATCTAAGGTGCACAACGAGCAACAGAATGGGAATTAAGTATAGATAGTTGTGTTTTTAGTTCCTTTTTTCCCCAGTATGTGATAAATAATTGAATAAATTAATGTATAGTTTGAAAAATAAAAGCTAAAAAGAGACACAACAGAAACCCAAGATGAAAATAAAGGCTTTCCAAATCCTTATTTGTGTTTCTGCTCTCGCTGTTGCTCTTCCAGTTGAACCAATTTTACAAAAACGAAAAAGAAAATCTGCTTGTATTTCTTATTTCTCTCTCAAAGGGCAACAAAACTAACTCATCTCAGGAAAAAGGTGCGCAACATCATTTGGAGTAAACATAAAACAACAATATTACAGACTGAAGTTTTCAGCTACTGAAATGCTAAAATGACCAGGGGAAACATAACAAGACAATTTCTGACTTGTTTCCCACAGGTGAACATAACAGGTTGTTCTGTTTCTCTTTTTCAGGTAATTTTCCCCATGTCAACAATCAGTTGTACCACAGCGATCAGCTTCTAGTAAAGCAGCTTAAAATTATATATAATTAAATATGGAAAGATCCAAAGAAAAAAGACATTTTGTGACAAATCATTCAAAGTAGAGCTGACCGTGGTGCTGAAACTTGGGGAGCCCAAATGCAGTTTTCAGTTGCTGTTTATTGGATTTTTACATGTTTTAGTATCCAGGATGGGGCCTGTGCTGTTATCTGTGACTTATTTCAAAACAGTGCACAGCAAATATATCCATATATGTATATTTATATGTATGTGTATTTTGTTGTATCTGCTATGCTGCTATTTTCAATAATTACAGTAGTTGATCCAACATACGGTGTAACACAAAGTATGAAAATCAGAGGAGACAAAGAAACAAACTTAACAAAATTGGACATTCAACAGAAGATTAAAACAAATATGCATTGCACCTTTCAAATGAATATTTAATGGAGCTGAAGGTGAAGAAACAATATTGTCAATGCATGTCTGTGAGCGTATTCATGTTGGTTTCATATTTAACCATTACCATTTGAATTTCTGCTCCACCCATATTTGTCAGTTTTTTGACAACAATTCATAAACCTTTCTGATAATTTATGTTGCTAAAAATGGAAATGACACAAATGAATTTGCATTGTGTGACAAAATAATGTAATGTTGATTGGGGTAAATAAAATTGCAAATCACAACTAATATGTGTCTGTGTTACTTTAGGTAAGACACAACAACTTTGTGGCATTGACAAGACAAATCCTAACAGCTTTCAATTCATTATTTAAGTTAAGTAAAATAAATTCAACTTGTTTTTGTTTGTCAATTTTTATTTCATCTCTGTTGGCACTTGTTGTCTCCCCTCTCAGCTCTCCCAAACAAATCTTCCTTCTTACCTAAACTTCTAGATGAAACCACTTTTTTACTCACATATAAGACACATTCCTTCTAATAATCCGTTGATTCTTTTAGTGGGGTTGTTCTTTACCTCCTCTGCTAGAAGACCCAGACGTTAACGAGTACATGATATTAAATAATAGATCATTGACGTCGGACAGTACTCCAGTTGTTGCATTAACAAAATGGCTCTATATATTGTGTACTAATGCATCAGCTCTGTAGACGAGCTGACTCTTGACATGTGAGGTAGCAACTGATGACTGAGGTGGAGTTGAATCATAAATACAGATGAAGCAGGATGAGTCTTTCAAAACCCGCTGAAAGCACACCTGATGCAATTATGTGAGGCACCAAGCTTTCAGGCGGTTTTAAACTGCTCTGAGAAAGATTCCATAATTTACTATAGTTGTACCATTTTACAGAGTCTGATCCTCAGATGTGAAATTGTTTAAACTGAACGACGAAAAACTGTAAAAGCTCTTGCATCCGACTCTCTTTGAAGATACGCCTACAGCTCTAAATTCTACCCCTTTGCTCTTCTTCTTTCAAAGACCTGGAGAAAAATGAGGCTTTCATCTTGGTGACCTATCAGAATGACCCCTCTCAGTGACAGACGCCTTAAACAACCAACCGATAATCAACACCTGGGCAGGAGCTCTGGTAAACAAATCAGGAAGCCAAAATGGCTTGTAATAGCAGCCATTTTGATGCTTTTACCTAAGGAGAAAGGCAGAAAAGAGATGAAAAGAGAGAAAATAAAACTGGATGTGTATACATGTGTATACAAGGATAAGTGTGGCTGTTTGCATGTGTGAAAAACAGTCAGTATATCATGTCTGTATAGATGCTGTGGATAATGCCATTTGTATCAGTACATCCTCTCTATCATGCTCATGGGAAAAATTACATCATTTTTTTGACAAAATTATTACTATAAATGCTGATAAAACATAAAGAGGACCAAGTTATTCTTTAAAATTTACTTTCACTACTGTTTTTGTTCACATTTAAGTCTTACCAGTCCAAATGATTTGAAAAAGAAAATAAAAAAATAACAGTAAATTTTGTAAATCAGACTTATGTTTGTGTCAAAATCTGCCCAAGTGTTCTCTTTAGGACGCAGGAGCTCTTCTCCATCATTAAACGAAGATGACCTGAGGATTCCTTTACTGGGTCTTATGTCACAGTGGAAGCATGGAGCAATTAATGCGGTGCTGAAAGCAGTTCGTAAGGGAGGATTATTATTATTTTTTTTAATGAAATGAGTAAAAAAAATCACCTAAATTCTACCAACACTTTGAATTTTAAAATTATGGTTTCAAGTTTCTATTTTCAGAATGCAAAATTAAAATTGTGAGGAGTGTGGAACCATTAAGGAAAGTGGGCTTTGTCACCAGGGGTTTGCTGTTTGAAGGAGGGCTATCAGGCCGGATTAGCTCTACCTCAGTGGTAATGGAAGTAGGAGCATCTCAGTTTTAGACTTAGATCTTAGTTGCTACAGCTAGAGAGAAACAGTTAGTCATGGGATGCAAAAGTAAGATGGTATTTTTACAGTATTAAAATTTAAAGAGCACTCCAGATATCATCAGATAATGTTTCCTTTATCCTAAACCTGAAATAACACATTGAAGGGAACCCAGATCATACATTAAGATCTGGTTGAAAGTTACACATTTGAAACAAACAGTTGGTTGGGGCTTTACGTTTAATGCAATTTAAAGTCTAAAAGGATCAGAGGGTGTGAATTTGCCAGGTTTTGTGTACTTTAAATTGTGACTTTGTTAAAAATATGTGTTTCTCATACAGACTTCAGACAAACATTTTCTTCTTCAGAGTAATCTTGTTTTGATGTCTTTAGGTAAAAATGAAAAAAAAAAATATTATTAATTTCAATTGAAACAATCTATTATACAAACTGTGTAAATTTCCAGGGATCTAAATGTAGGTAAAGCTTCACAGTGAAGGAGCTTTAACTACTTTTGCACATGCTGAATGGAACTGACTCATATCTATAAGAAGATGAATATCAGGGGGTGTACACATTAAGTACAGGAAGTTAACGGTTAAATCAGTTTCAAACTGCCAGTGGACATTGTTGTGTGTCTGCATGATGCTGCTTGTCATTTTGTAAATCTTTTAGGGCATAACCTTCTATGTACACGTGTGTGTGAGCATGCATGTATGTGTGTGTGTGTGTGTGTGTTCAGAAGGCTTGTCACAACAAGTGGGATAAACAATAAGCACTTTCAGACCACAGGGGACCTGTACACAGTCCTTATTTATCATTCAACCTTTATTTATACAGGTTATTCTCATTGAGTCACGAGGACTCATTTACAAGAGAGACCTGTTTTAGACAGACAACATTTAAAGTACAGACAACGATAAACTACAAAGTATAATAACCAATACAGTATAATAACTTATAACCATTTAAAGTAGTTTGTCTTTGTTTCTTTCTGTTTTGTTTCAAATCTTAAAGTTTTGTTACATTTTACCCAAAAGTCTGCCCTCAGGAGCACTTAGGTCGTAAGTGAGGCCTAAGTGACAGAAACGTCCATCACTGTTGTTGACAATGAATGTTTCATGTAGTGACAAAGCCAAACTGACCATAGTGTTAGTGTTACTGTTCAACAGTGACCTTCAGGCAGTGATAAAACTGACAGAAAATATGCTTTTATTAGCTCAAGAATATCACTTACTGTTATTACCCTACAAATAAAAACCTTCTGTTTGGGCCGAAAGCATGTGTCGTTTACAGAGAAGCAAAACTGAGATTTAAAAAACTGACTATTCTTCCTTTGGTCGTGTGCATGACGTGCATTTGGACTTATCTTACCTCTGCCAGTGGTACAATGCCCTGGATGTCAGCATTGCTGATGTAGAGGTGTGAGACTTTCTCTGTTTGTCTTGATGATGTCTGTGCACTGGACGGGTACTCCACTGTCCAGTGCAGAGTCTGTGTTGGCACCAGGTTAATCACGTTGTCCACCTCAAACTCCAACTGCATCACCTCGTATGTGGGACTTTCCATTCTAGAAAGACAAAGAGAGAGTTTTGTATTGTCCTCATTGAATGCTTTAAATACTGGTAAAGTAAAACCACACTCTCTAAACATTGATTTAAAATAAAAATCACACTTTTATCATTTCAATGTGTCTGATACAAATGGATGTAAATGACCAATGGGATTTTTTTTTTAAATCCCCATGACAGTTTTTATTTTATATCCTCGAGTTAAATAAAAATGTGATATGTGACTTGATAAAGATCTTACCAAACAGGATGAAAACACAAGTATCCAAATCTATAATGACATACAGATAATTTGCCTGAAATAAGCAATCCAGTTTTGGTGTTAAAGGGTGATTTCAAATGTTGTACAAAGTTGACGCATAATCCTCTGGCCATTTGCTATTTCACCAGTTTTTTTATTTTTATTTGTATATTAATAACTGGCAGTGACTTTATTTAACATTTAATTATTCAAATTATAGTCTTCTGCTTAGTTAGCATTTAACCAGTCATGTAACTAAGCAGATCTGTTTTAAAGTATGTAAAAACACTTTCTTTTAACATACTGATGTTTTAACATTTGGCCAAAGTAATTCATTGGAGCTTTTAAGAGCATTTGTTGTAATCAAATGTATTTTTACCTAAATATTTATCGGGTCTCTCTTGTAAATGTGTCGAGGCTCAATGGGATTTATCTGTTTAAATAAAGGTTGAATGAACATACAGGTGTAGCAATATCCTTTTTTTTTAAATTTCACACAATAAAACTAATTTTCTGGCTTCAAATGTGTTTCATACCCAACTAAACATTACCTTCATAACACTGATTTTAATATTTTGGTTCAAAGCTATTCCCACCTGGCTAATCTGTAATTTGTTTTGTAATTATTCAAGGAGAAATGGAATGTTAGATTTCACTCATTTGAATTAATTTTAGATACATAAAGTAAAGATGCGTGGTGCAAATTGGATTCTTAGAAGCTGTTTAGCATATCTTATGCCCTGCATTCAACAAATCAGACCAAAGCACAGCAATGTATGAACATATTCAAACTGTAAAATCAACACATTTTAAAACATATTATGTATCCATACTGTAGCTCTGAGGGTGTTCATTCAAATACAATGAAAAACCCTGCATTTCATGAGACCATTTTACTTCATTGCAACCTTCAGAGGTTCTCTTTGCTGAAGAGAAATGTGAAGAACCAAAAATAACTTAAGATATTCTTTCTATTTATATTTCTCTTCGGTGTACATTCTGACCCCCGTGATTGCCATTACACATTGACTTTTAAACTTTGCAAATTGTCGTTGCCTGCGTTGCTTTTCTGCTTGATAGGAAATCTGTCTTTATTTGCTACATCTATATTTTATCCTCACACAAATTCTTAACCTCTTCTGCAGCAGTGACAAGTGTGGTCAGTTTAAGAGAGGAATCATAAAAAAGACCAGAGAATGTAAATAATCACTGCCATAAACCCATTTTAATACTGTATATCTTCTAGAATTGTGCCGCTCGGGGTGGCTGCATGTTGGAGTAGCTCTGTTAGTCATTCTAAGATTTTGCTTTTGGACATTTTAATTCCTCTTTTCTGGATATGTCATTTTTTGGATGATTGTTTCCTCTGGTATCGGATGCTGCACAGCTGGAAGGATTTTTATTGAGACTTTTACTTTTGCACATTTGTTATGATGCGTAGCCATAAATATAATGTGTTTTTATTACAACTGGGAGCAGCTGATTAACATCTCAGAAGGTCAAATAATGTCTCAACTACAGTCCCAAATCTCAAATGAGTTGAAAAGGAGGCACCGTAGATGCATTCCCATCTCCCTGCCAGCTGTGCTCGAGTGCCTGACCACTGAGATCCTGGAAATGGCAGGAAATGTGGCTCGTGACCGCATAAGGACCGGGATCATCCCCCGGCGCCTGCAGCTGGCTGTCCGCAGTGACGAGGAGCTCGGCAAGCTGCTGGGAGGAGTGGCCTTCGCTTTGGGAGTAGTTCTGCCATGCATTCGGATGGTCCTGCAGCCTGCGGGAACTGAGAGAACAGCCGAGTATAGGTGGACTGATTGGATGGAATCTGCTGGCAATTTCTTCAGATCCACTGTGAGACAGACCTTTACAAGAGCTCCTTCCTGCCTACAGCCATCAGTGTGTATAACATATCTTAATGAAACAAGGATAACGAGTTACAACATTTGATTTCCCTTTGGGATTAATGAAGTATTTTTGAATTGAATTGAATATCTTTAGGAAAACAAAAAAGCATCACTGATGTGAATATATACAGTAAATTATATATATATATATATATATATATATACATCCGAAGTGACAGAACACTTTCTGTTGTCCAGGCAGCAACAAAAAATACTCACTTACAGTTTACAGTAAGTGCAACACAAATGGTCTCCTGGGTGGAACTGGAGAGATAAAAGTTCAACACTCCAACTGTTTCACAGCAACAAGAAAGATAATAATCTAGATACAGTTCAGTAACCAACAAATCATTCTGCTGCTGGTTGCCTGACTACAATCTAAAAAGCTTTGCTACCTTCTTATTCCACTGCACCCCCCTCAATACACACATATACACACACACATACACACACACACACACACACACACACACAATTATAACCTAATTAAACCTGAAATAAAAAATGTGGAACATTGTAAAGTAATTTTAATTGTGTTAAAGCTTTTGACTACATGTGCAGACACACACACAAATATGTGTGAGTTTAAATTCACAACAGAGCAACTTGCTGAGGGTCTGTGATATCTGCCGTGTCTGCCAGTTAGAGCAAAAGTGTGTTTTTGTCAGGAGAGATGAAGTGAGCGATGTGTTACAAAGCTAGATTAAGGAGGAGAAGCTGATGGATGTCAGCTCCCCTTGACCTGTTTTACGTCCCATCATGCTCGAGCCTCTGTCATCTGTCTTTACCTCCTGTTTCCACCTTCTTTCGCTGTCTATCAGACCTAACCTGATATCACGTAGTTATTCCTCTTTAGGGAGAAATTTATTTAGTTTTAGTCTGTCACACACACACACACACACACACACACACACACACACACACACACACACACACACACACACACAAGAGTAAAAGCTTGAGAAAAGTTTGAGAGAAATGAAATGTCAGAATTCACAACAAAACTATCTGCAGACACAATCGCACAAAGTCAGAGTGTTCCTGACATTGACAGCTTCTGCTGTCCTTCTGAAATCCTGCAGGTTTGGCTGTTTCTCCTCTTCATGGCTGTTGTGAAAAGTAATGAGATGGTCTTCACAGTTCAGTCCAATTTTTCTTTTTGCCGAAGAAAAAAAAAAAACGTCCACCCAGAAGAGTGGCTACAATGGAGACCCAAGCACATCTGATTTTTACTGGGTGCAAACTTCAGCTCAGTTAATGTATGACGTTAGTTGAAAGGTTATTTACAACATGACAACAATAAAAAAAGAAAAACTTTATTCCCCTTAAAATTAAAAGGTTTTTATTATTGTATGTTATTGAATGTCACCATTTAACAATTTTTGCAGTATTGACACCATTCTGTGTAGTCGTCAAGTTCCTGTCATACATAAACACAACCCCCATTTTATTTTGTACACGTATAAACCACAACCACTGCAAAGGTCTACACACAAACAGACTGAGACATGGTACTTTGTCACTCTCACTCTCTGTTCCCGTCTTTCCCATTCCTTTAGACATACACATGCAGGCAATGCACAAGCAACACACTGCTCAACACACAAGGCAATACATACAAACACACACATGCATACACACATGCACGTACAGAGAACTATCCAAAAATTGTTGAGTGTGTTTTGGTGCAGTGTAATCACTGGAGCTGAAAAAGCAATGTGTCTGCCGTGACAGGTCCATTCAGGTGTTAGCTCTATCCCTACCACTAGGCTCTGAAACAATCTTACGCTGTCCTCTAGTGCACGCACACACAAACACACACGTACACACAAGCATGTACACACACAGGTACACAGCTACACACTTCGGAGCACTGCTCTCCAGCACTCAGAACCAACCAAATGAAACGTCTTCTGAAGTTTACGCTTTTTCACAACTTTTGAGTTTGTTTTCCTTTAAGCAGTGCGGCTCTTTAGCTGCTGTCCCTGTTACAGATGAAGTGGAGACACGTTCACAGAATCAGCCGGTGTCCACAAACATCAGGTCAGATGACACACTGCAACGCAAGTGATCATACCACTTTGCTTCAATGAACATGTTTAGGAAAAGTACAACTATCCATCCATTCATTCATTATCTTTTACCTGCTTCTTCCATTTTGGGTCATGGGGGTCGCCGGTGCCCATGTCCAGCAATCACTGTGCGAGGGGCGGGGTACACCCTGGATGGTTCGCAAGCCCATCACAGAGACACTTAGAGACAAACGAGACAAACAACCATTCACTATCTCACTCACACCTAGGGACAATTTAGAGTTACCAATCAGCCTAACATGCATGTTTTTGATCTGTGGGAGGAAACCGGAGTACCCGGAGAAAACCCACGCATGCTCAGAGAGAACATGCAAACTCGACCCAGAAAGACCCCCGGACCAGGATTTGAACCAGGGACCTGCTCGCTGAGAGGCAGCAGCTCTACCAGTTGTGCCACTGTGCTGTCCAGGTGCTTAATCATTTAAAATAATACATTTTAAATAAACAATCCATGCCGCTCATATGACACATGTGGCTCATCCATCAATCAGTCAATTGTGTGGCGTGTCCACTCTTAATTTGAAAAACCGCGAAAAAGCGAGTCTGCGAAAGACGAACCGTGAAGGAGCAAAAGGTTTCTGTATACCATGTTTTTTGTTTTTGTTTTTTTTTGCAATTTGCATCATGATCACACTCAATTTATGTACTTATATATTTTGTAGTGACCAGTCTTCAGTAGGGCTGTCATTTCTGTCAGGGTTGCCAGATAGGAAACATATGCCAAAATGTGGTACTCTCACTTTAAAATGATCATAATTTGA